AGTTATAGGTAATGAGGCAGTTACAGGTTGAGTTCTTTGTAATATATTATCTACCTAAAAAATATATATATAATTTTACAAATAGCACTCACAGTGACATATACGGATTTTCCAGTACCAGTAGGACCAATAATCATCATAGCTTTCTGGTGCTGTACCAAAAGCTGCATCAAAGCAATATTTCTGATTGTCTCAACGGTTACCACTATTATTTGGTTAACAGGAATATCTCTTGGTATTGGGGGAGCTGCCATCAGTTCGTCTGACCATAACTTCCATTTTCCTTTACCCTACCAATCAGATTGTTTGAAAAAATCGAAGTGATTGATGCCGTAAATTTACAGATTGAGCTCACTTTTCAGGGTTTACCACTGATTCTATTTTGTTTTGGAAATAAAGAGAAATTTTTGTAAAGGTTTTCGAAATTATGGAAATATGTAGAAAAACTGAAAAATCTGAGACATGGAAAGAGAAAAACTTCCATTTCCGTGATTGTAACATTTTGTTGTTATTGATTATACTATATTATCTAAGAGGATAAATTGGTAACAAAGTGTGAACAATATTAGAATTACAAATAAATTATGTACCTAACCTAGGTATAAGGTATATAAAAACATATAACATACATGAATATATACACAAATATAAATTGATGTGAACACAATAATGATTAATTCTGAAATGAAGTTGAAATATAATTAATGAATTATAAAAATTATATATGAAGACATGAATATGAATATAAAATTGAATCATGTATAAAAACTGGTCACATNGGGTCTATAGAGACAGTAAATTTAGTCTACTTCAAAAACTAGTTCTTCAGGATTTTAATCGCCAAAATTTGAAAAAACTCGATTTTTTCGCGGTATTTTCGATTTCTGACAAAGTTGCGTTCGGCACTTGAGGTCAGAACTTCCGTATTTGACGCATGCTGTGATGTACAAACAAACAAACAAACAAATGTGTCTTGATAAAAAACGGATTCATATTAAATATATTTCATTCACAAACACACACTTAAAAGGATATATTAAATATTTTGAGTAAGATTCCTCAGAGGAGCATGATACACTCCATGAAAAATCAATGACAAATTCTTCAATGATGTGAAGGGATAGTCTCCTTTGCTGACCTATGAAACAATTAAAAAAACACGCTATCAAGAGTTAGTGGAGTTGGTATAATGTTTTGCATTCAAATCATCAGAGCAAATGTTATCAACAACATACACATACATATTGAACTAATAAAACCACTGATTTGTCATTGGCGTGAAGTTATCCACAGATTTCTGGCCACACATGCCGACGTAGAGGAAAATAAAAATCTGTGGTTGGGATACAAAATTATTAGCACCCGTACTAATATATGTGGCTGGAAATACCTATTCACTATAGGTTGAACGTGAAATTATTAAGACTATTTGGTGTTTAACATTTTTATAGAGACTTGAGTAGATTGAGGCGTTGATAATCCTTTTCTAATCAACAATACAGATTTAGGGAAAAATAAACTTGAAAATATTAGACTTATTTTCCAATACCCCATATAGAAATGATATCCGATGATGTGCGTCCATCAAAATCACACAACTTCCATAGTTTCTTGAGAAGATTAACTTGGTGATAACATTTTTTTTGTCATCTAAACAGATTTCGAAAAAGAAATTGTTGAAACAATCAGACTCATTTTTTGAGATTCCTTGTATTCATGAAAATAACACAACTCTTATAGAATCTTGAATAGATCAACACAGTGAAAACCGTTTTCTTGTTACCCATACAGATTTCGAGAATAAAATTGTTGAAACGATCAGACTAACTTTTTAAACCACTTGTAGAATTGAAACCAGATGATGTGCGTGCATAAAAATCGCATAAGTCTTATGGAATCTTGGGTAGATTGACGTAGTGATAACAATTTTCTTGTCACCCGAACAGATTTCGAAAACAAAAATGTTGAAACAATCAGACTCATTTTTTGAGATTCCTTGTAGAATTGGAACCAGAAGATGTGCGTTCATGAACCGAAAACGGTTTTCACTATATCGATCTACCCAAGATTCTATAACAGTTATGTAATTTTCATGAACGCACATCT